TACAGTGCAGTGCAATGTAACATAAATAAGAACAAGCAACTGGCGAGCTGAGTGCAACTTCCTTCAAATGCTTTTACTTGGGAAAAGGAAAAAGAACTTTTTTCAATATGGCACCTATCAAAGAGCGACAGTCTGCATGCACACACACGCATAAAGAAAGAAACAGCTATTTTTCACTGGAAACAAATGTAAACAGATAGAAACTGTATTGATATTAATAAAAACTGCCGATCACATCAAAGCTGAGAAAAAAATAAAATGTTTCAGGAGTTTGCTACAAATGAANAAAAAGAACTTTTTTCAATATGGCACCTATCAAAGAGCGACAGTCTGCATGCACACACACGCATAAAGAAAGAAACAGCTATTTTTCACTGGAAACAAATGTAAACAGATAGAAACTGTATTGATATTAATAAAAACTGCCGATCACATCAAAGCTGAGAAAAAAATAAAATGTTTCAGGAGTTTGCTACAAATGAATCAGAGCCAGATACAGCAGTCTCAAAAGAATCATTTGAGTGAATCAAGAGAGCCGAAAAGAAAGTCTAGAGTAAAAAACTTGTTCAGTATCACACTCATTACACGCTTAAAGTTTTGGTGTGATACATAATAAATATTTTAGATGACGAGGCGAGGGAAATGTTAGCAGTAGCAGCAGCAGCAATGCAGTGGCCAATCAAACTGCTGGCATGCGGCGAGGGACATTTTTTAAACGGGCAAAAACCGTGTGCCTGCAGTAGACCACCGTGGAATGCCTCGGAATACTGCACACTTCTCTGTGATTGTGCTGCTGCTGATGTTTTTGCAGTTACTCAAAGTAAAGTCATTGCTTGGAGCGTGCTGTACACACGCTGCTTCCTCTGCCGAACCGCGCTTTCCAATTTCCTGTGTCACACTTGAGGATAGCGAACCAACAACCAGTCCAATTATTGGCAGTAGGCGCAATTCCTCCGTTTGCTCCCGTTTCTTTGCTGCTCTTCAGCACGGTTCTTCCCTCCATCAAGGTTGCACCTGAAAGGATGATAAAGAAGCAATCATCATAATTGACAATCGATACAGCTCTCTTTCTGCAGACTGAATGGCAGAACTGTTTGAGCACACTGCAATGCTCCACTGCAATCAGCTTCGGCGGCGTTTGTTCCGGTGTTTCCTCTGTATTTACTTGTGTGTGCTCCAGTCGGAAAAAACATTGACACTCACTTGCATGTTCATTAACACAATGAATAATTATGATCCAGCTAAATCAAACTGAACAAACTAAAAGAGAACAACTTGTCAGAGTTGTTTGAGCGACACACTGTTGTACGGCCCCCTGAACGGATGACAAAGCAGCAACTGCTGGCACGCAAGCAAAAACAATAAACTAAAATAAAAAAAGTGATTCATTTATTAGGATATCAACAATGTTGTGTAACAGAAAAAGAGAGTTGTTGTTCTGGGTGTGCTACACACACAATTTCTGAACAATTGNCAAGCAAAAACAATAAACTAAAATAAAAAAAGTGATTCATTTATTAGGATATCAACAATGTTGTGTAACAGAAAAAGAGAGTTGTTGTTCTGGGTGTGCTACACACACACAATTTCTGAACAATTTGTAACAATTGGAAAATTCTCTCTTAATCAAAGGAGACTGTCTTCCTGAGTGGGACATTTGTCAGCAGCAGCGACCGTAGCACCGTTGCGCTCCCTTGCACAGTTGTAGCTCTGGCTTTTCACCATTTCTCTGCAGTGCAAACTGAGTTTGCCATTTGTCGTTGGTGCCTCAGCAGCAGCAGCGGCACTGGCACTGGCATTGGCATTGGCATTCGCTGGCACGCACGAGAAGCGCTTCTGTGCGAGCGAGTGCAGTTTTGAGCTCGATGCGGCACCAGCAGCAGCAGCAGCTGCGACCAGCTTGGTGCCCTCCTTCGTCCTGCCACCCTTTGCGTAGGAGTACTGGCAGTTGTACTGACTGGCGAGGCGCTTCCGCTGCTGACTGGAGTTGAAGATGTTGGCCATACTGCGCCCACCGCCACCGCCGCCGTTGGTCGTCTGCTCGGTGGACTGCTCCGAGGGCAGCAGACAGGGCACACACTTGCCGAGAACGCGCCGGAAGCCGTAGCGAAAACGCGGATTCATGGTAATGTAGATGACGGGGTTGTAGACGGCGTGCGACATGGCCAGCCAGTGGGTCGCCACCCAGATGTACTCGATGTAATCGTACTCGTACACGTTGTAGTAGTCGCCGAGAATGATGAGAATGTTAAAGGGCAGCCAGCAGAGGGTGAAGGCCAGCACGCAGACGATCATCATTTTCACCATCTACCGATCAGTGGTATACCTGGTTAGCCTCACTGTTCACTCACTCTCTGAACTATTTTCACTTACCTTCCGCTTTGATGCGGCCATTTTGGCATCACGTTCATTGTCCGCCTCCCCTGGAGCTCGCTTTCCCCAGACGACTATTGCTATTCGGGTGTAGGTGAAGACCAGTACGGTGAATGGAAGGAGGTACTGCAGTGTCATCAGCAGCATCGAGTAGTACGACCGGTAGGTGTCATCCGCCCAGCTCCAGTCTTCAATGCACTGGTACTTGGTGGGCGTCGGCTGGAGACTGGCAGCAATGGTCGGCCACTCGGTGCTCATCGGCGGTGGAGGCGGTTCTCCAAGGTCGGTAGAGTTGATTTTGTCGTCGTCGCCGCCGCCGACAGAAGAGGAGGAAGAAGAGGAGGAGGAGGAGGAGGAGGAGCAAGGAGTAAGGCCGTCACTATCACTGGAGGCCAGCTCGATTGCCGAAGCTGTTTGGTTGCTCTGCAGCAGCAGGTGCTGCTCGTAGAGGCTAATGTTGGCGAGATCAGCCGCCGTCAGAGTAGTGGCACTGAATGGCAGAGTGGCTCCTGCAGCTGCTGCTGCCGCCGGCGGGACGCAGGTACTTGTGGAATTGAGGACCATCTCCTTGGTGATTGGAAAGAGGCGAGATAATAAGGCAGTGGGGAGGGGGGTGAGTAGTGCCACCAGCCAGATCACGCCGATCAGCTGCAGGCCGTGCCGACGGGTCATCCGAGGTCGCAGCGGGTAGATGATGGCGATGTACCGGTCAAAGCTGATGGCCACCAGGGTGTACGCAGACACAAAGACCGACACCGCTTGAGCGTAGGTGATCAGGTGGCACATGAAGAGGCCGAAGATCCACGAGTCGAGGAGCAGGTTGGAGATGGAGGTAAATGGACTAAAAAACGAAATGTATTGATTGCTCTGATTGTTCACAATAAATGTAATAATGAATGTGTTGATTGTACTCACATGCAGAGCAATGCCATGAGCAAGTCGCCAAGGGCACAGTTTAGCAGGAAGAGATTGGTCACCGAACGCATTCGCCGGTACTTGGCGATCAGGTAGATGACGATGCTGTTGCCGCCCACGGCTGCCACTGAAATGGTCGAGTAGAGGACAATGTAGAAGATGTGCTTGGCCTGCAGCGAGAAGCTTTCCATGGTCGCCTTCCAGTGGGCAGTGGCAGTGTCCACTTGCGGTCAGCAGCAACTGCGGCGGCGATTTGGCGGGACAGAGAGAGCAGTAGAGGAGGACAGCAGCTGGTGGCAGAGTGCCTACGAGCATTGATGAACATTCAGCTCAGGTCACTTCCCCTCATCTTCACTGTTTGCTTTCAATTACGTGCCCACCACTGCCGACAGGCTGAGCGGTGAGAGGGTAGGCTAGGCTAGGCAGGTTCACCAGGCGGATGCAGCAGGCAAAGAGGCCCAGTTAGAAGAATAATCACAACATCTCGAGTCGACATTCTTTGTTCGACGTCTGTGTGCTAGAATCCTTCCACTTGATGCGATTCTCTATAAATAGAAAAATTAATTATTTATATACGTGGACTAGTAGTAGTAGTGTCTGCTGGCCTAATGCAGCCAAGAATTGATGGTCAGTTCAGCCTATTCTGAAGAAGGAGATAGTGGCAGAGAAATTGAAGCAAACGTGGAATGCCGGCGGTAGTCGATTTATGTTTGCCTCGTTAAGCCTTCCTACCCCACACTCACTACTGAACAGCACTAGTCAAGACACGTGAAGTGTATTTCCACTATCGAAATGCCAATACTGAACTGGCAGGCAACTTCTATTTCATTCAAAAAAGTTTAATTAAATTGTCCTCTTTCTGCAAGCCTTTTCAGCTGCCAAAGTTTTACTGTTGTATAAAAAACCGTAGTCGATGAACATTGAAACACAATAGAAGCTCAGTGATTTACATCAACTAAAGCAGTCATTTGTTTATAGTCTTCTTGCTGTCTGCTTTTCTCTTGTTTTCCCTGCTGGCTGGTGCTTTGCTTTCCATTGATCAAGTCTCCTAAGCAGTCATGTGATTTGTTAGAAACTTTAAAACACATCAGCCAGAATATCAACTTTCTCACAAAAGAGAATGATGAGTTGATGCAGTTTCTAAAGTTGGCAAACTAAGTAAACGATTTGTGCTACTGTGAAACTATTTTCTTAAACAGTGAAGTTACAACTTTTTCTCCTATTATAAAACAATGATCTTGGCCAATCACTACATGACAATATCTGGGTCGGCAAAACGCCATAGGCAAGGCTGGCAAAACTTGTTTGTTTTAGAAAGTTATAGTTTTGCAATTGTAAGGAGCATCAGCAAAACAAATGATGATATTTTGTGCACTAGAAAGAAAAAACAAAGACNAGTTACAACTTTTTCTCCTATTATAAAACAATGATCTTGGCCAATCACTACATGACAATATCTGGGTCGGCAAAACGCCATAGGCAAGGCTGGCAAAACTTGTTTGTTTTAGAAAGTTATAGTTTTGCAATTGTAAGGAGCATCAGCAAGACAAATGATGATATTCGGTGCACTAGAAAGAAAAAACAAAGATTGAAAAAGTGTATTCTAGCAAATAGGTTCAAAAGTGGATTGTCGTGCAACAGTTTTGTAAATCAAAACAGAATCAACTACAGAGAGGAAAGGAAAGCAGGCAGCATGTGTTACTTCGGCGAGAACTCACTACCCATCAAGAGCAGAGCTGTCTGGCACTTTGAGAAGTGGTTCTGTTCTGTTTGTTCTCCTTCAGTGTTTCAAGTGTTTTCTCCAGTAAATGTACTCGCTCTCTTTGAGTAATATCAATTTGCCCAATCTGCGCTTAATCTTGTATACAGTGATGTAGAAGCAATCCATTACCATTTCTCTTGCAGTAATCTGCAAAGTTCTGCAGCCTTCTCTTTCTGTGTACAGAAACGACAGGAAACCAATTAGGTAAATGAGCAAAGTCGCATCTTCTAACGACACACAGACAGAACCACTGCACCATCGATTGCGTGCCTTACTTTTGCCTGTTTTTATGATTGTCAGCAAGCGTGCCAATTTGTTTATTATTTATACAATATATGTACACTTTCCCCTCTAGAACCTTATGTAGATGGCCTATGCTTCATGTTTTCAGCTTTTTCTGACCTACAAACAATCTTTCTAATCCAATTTGCTTTCAGATTGTTATTAAGAATAATGCACTTTTTTCAGCAAGGAGACATTTTTTGCTTGCAGACATCAGTTTGACATTAACAAATGCTAAGTCAACGGTACAGTAGCAACAATTATTATTGTTGATGTTTTTAATAAAAGTTTAATATTAAAAATGTATTGTGATTTAATTTAAATGTAAATAACTTTCCCATTAGCTTTTTGCCAGATTTATTGAATTCTTTTTATTTTTACTTTTAGGTGCAAATCAAAGTGAAGGCTTGTTTATGATTATGCACTTTACTATTATTCTTGTCTTGTTTTTTGTTTCAGGTTGACAAAAACCAGTAAAGCAAAGTTCACTCATGTCTGAAGAGATATGTGTGCTATA